TAAAGCACAGCTGGGGGGCTGCAGTTGACCACCCCTGTGCTAGGGGTTGACTAGGCCCACCAGTCTTCACCCATTGATATCACTTTTGGGGGGAGGGGGGACTGACCCTTCAAGTGAGAACGACACTAATGGGTCTATTTATAACTCCTTCGCCCAGCCATACACTATTTGCATGACTTTCCTACCACTAGATGGTGCCGAGGAACATAGGATTTCCTTTAATCCATTGGATTTCATTACAGTCAATCATGGAGGGTCAGCACCAATTGTAGGCATTACCTAGGGAAATCTGCATGCAAATACAACCTGCCTAGAAATGCCGACTCCTCCAGACTAATACCCACCCATCAAGGCATGCTGATATTTGCATAACTCCTCCCAAGAGCCAGCCCATTGCTTGCACCAGGACTGAGAGCTCTTGGGAGGAGTACTACCGTGTTTCCCCGAATCTGGTGTGTGGGCGGGCGTGTGGGCGGGGCGGGAGCTGCGGCCGGTCTTTACACAGTTTATGTGCAGCTACCCCGGAAGTAAGACCTAGTGGATTTCTGTAATATAAGACCTACCACCGAACTAGGTCTTATTTTCGGGGTAGGTCTTATATTACAGAAATCCCTGATGATAGCACTAGGTCTTATTTTCGGGGTAGGTCTTACTTTCGGGGAAACACGGTAAGGCAGATGTTATCAGGAAGCTATGTACAGCACCCTGCCGCTCCTCCCACCAGCCATGATTTGCCTGCATTGTGTAGGGAAGCACAAAGAGTCCCAGTGATGATGTAATTGGTTCTAAAATAAGGCAAAAGTTTAATTAGCAAGTTGATGAGGGGGTAGGGGAGGAACCAGGGAAGGCAAAACGTAAGCAGATTAAACTGCAACTTTAAACATCAAGCTCTTTTAACCGCTCTTATTCATAATGAATTGCAGAACTCATTATTTATAGACCGTGGGCTGGAAGCATGTAAAGTATGATCAATATTTCATACCTGAAAATACACTTGAGGACCTGCTCTCTAAAGCTTCTGAAAAATGTCATCTAAAAGCAACGTTAATAAGCCTTTAAGACCAGCAGGCAACTTTAGTTAAGACATGCAATCAGGCAGAATATAGCTTCCTGCCGGTCTGAGGCAGCTGTGAAGATTGAGAAGTAATTCCTTCAATGGGTTGTATGGAATTATTTTCACAATGTCCCCTGGATTTTCAGAAATCAATTTTTAACTCCAAAGCAAATATTACATGCTTGTATATGAGAAGAGAATGCAGAGGATGCACACACCCCAAGTGCACCCCACTTATCGTTTCACTATACCCCACATACAAAAAATTTACAATCTACAAAGAACTGGAAATGAAAGCAACCACTGCAGGTTACATTGGTTCTGGATCGCCATCTACTGGTCACAAGCTGTAATGCAGCAGCTGAGATTTACAGGGTTATTCACAAAGCTGCCGAAGGCAGCCGAGTGAATAACCTACCCGAAGTGAAGTTAACCGAACGCTGTTTGGCTATTCACTTCAGGCTTGTACGGCTGATTTTAGCCTATTTCAGCCGTACATCGGCTGGCTTCAGCTGCACTTCGGTCAAAAGGACTTTGACTCAGCTGATCCAACCTCCGTATCGGCTGAGCCAGAGCCCCGGGAGCTCACTCGCTGACGTTCGCCCCTATTCACATAGGGGCCGAACGGCAGTGAGTGGATAGCCAAATGCCGCCGAGCGGCATTCGGCTCGGCTAATTTGCTCGGTACCTCCGCGGTACCGAGCAGAATAGGAAATCAATTTTAAATTATTGTTTTTTAAAGGTAGATTTTTTTTTTTAAACATGTTAATAAATAATACATTAAAAAAATTAAATAAAGATTTAAAAAAAGAGAAAAAATTATTTTAAAAAACAATTGGGCGGAGCTAGCAGTGACAGATAGCTCCGCCCAACTGTTTCCGTTTGGCTGGGACCTGCTAGAGTCTAATGCCTCCGGCTTGGCTGAGCCACTCGGCCGCCTTCGGGAGCTGTAGGGCTATAGTGAATAGTCCGTACAGCAGCCCTTCGGTTCGGCGGCCAAATAACTCCCTTAGAGTGTTTTTTAAGGCTGAGAGAGAGGGAAAGGGAGAGAGAATAGAAGGAATAGATAGAGAGAGAAAGAGAGAGAGAGAGAGAGAGAGAGAGAGAAGAGAGATAGATAGATAGATAGATAGATAGATAGATAGATAGATAGATAGATAGATAGATAGATAGATAGATAATGGAGGTATATACTATATATTCTGTTCATCACACTTACTATAAATAATCACAATCATAGAAGACAGAACACCCTGAAGGAAGCAGATGACATATGCATTCAATCTTTACATATCAATTAA